AGGGCCCCACTCCACCTGACCCTCCCTCTCACCAACAGCCCCCTCAGCCTGCCCTTAGGGCCCCACTCCACCTGACCCTCGCTCTCACCAACAGCCCCATCAGCCTGTCCCATCTCTTTCCCCTCCAAGGGTCCCACTCACAGCTTGAGGCTGCCACTGTACCCTCCCCAGCAGGCACTCTCATCCTGGGTGGTTGTGCCCCCAGGGGACACCTGGCGATGCCTGGAGACATTTTTGGTTGTCATGACCGTGGCACAGAGACCAGGGCTGTCACTATACAGCCTACAGTGCATAGCACAGACCCCACCACCAAGGCGATGGGACCCCAAACGTCAACAGTCCGAGGCCTGAGAACTTGGTCTCAAGGGACCTAGTGGCACTTGTACCTCCCCAGTGCACTGGTCTGTGATTCCCGGTACCCAGAGTGTTTGCTTTGCAGAACGCACGACCATTCACACTTAATGCTTATTCATCTCGCCTAGGTCTCCCCCACGAAATTGAGTCCGTTAAGTGGGGTTCGTGTCTGTCTTACCACCAGATACGGCGACATCTGGGGCCGGATCAATGTCCCCACGAGCCTGATTCCCACGCAGGCGGAGAGCCGCTTCCAACTCTCCAGTTCCGCAACATAAATGTGGACGTGAAGCCCCCTCACCCAGCCGGTCCACGCGGTCTCCCCAAACGCGGCTCTCGGCCGGCTCACGAGCCCCGACAGCTTGGGCGCAGGCCGGAGGGAGGCCCCCTTGCCAGGCGAAGGGGTCACACCTGCGGGCCTGGGGAGCTCGCGTACCCCGACTCGCGCGCCGCCTGCCGGGTCGCCTCCGAAAACGCCGCGCACGCTCAAGCCCCGCCCCGCGAGGCCGCCGCCGATTCGCCGCCGATTCGCCATGGCCGTCCTGGCCTGGCCCCGCGCTCGGCTCGCGGCACAGAGAAGACAGCCGCGGCTCAGAAGCTCTCCGGGCACAAGAAGAAATGTCGCTTATTTCTTTTTGGAAGCTCTAGGGCCGGGTCACGCGGGCCGCTTGTGACGAATCTGCGGAGAAAGCGCGGAGCCCGAAGACGGCGCAGGCGGGCAGCCGCAACTGCGCCTGCGCGGACGAGGGGCGGGGCGAAAGGGTGGTACTTCGTCGTGGGAGGCCTGGTGTGGGCGGAGCCAGGAGGGCGGGGTGCTGTGCCCCGTTCGAGCAGCTGCCACGTGACTAGCCTCGCTACCACGTGACCGACCTCGCGCCCTTGACAGCCTCGCTCCCCATCCAGGGCCCGTCCCTGCCCTCAGGGACTTAGAGTCCAGCAGAATCACAACTGAGATGACTTCAGACTTTAATAAGCGTGGTGGTGTGAGTGAGACACCACCCTCCACGTCTGAAGTACTGCGATGGCTTGCTTGTTGCTGTGATGCTAGAAGCTAAGCCCCCCATACTTCGAATGCCAGCAGGGTCACCCATGGTGGTCAGGCTTGGCAGAGTTTCCAGACTAAGGCAGACTAGGAAGGAAGATCTAGCGGTCTGCTTCCAAAAATCAGCCAGTGAAAACTTTATGGGTTGCAACAGAGTATTGTCCGACTCACTTGCTTCGGACCCATCATCAGGAGAGGTCAGTTGCTGGAGGAGGACATCATGGTTGGTGAAGTAGAGGGCCAATGAGGGCAAGGGGGGCCGTCGGTGAGATGGATTGGCACAGTGGCCTCCATGATGGACTGGAACATGCCAGCCATTGTGAGGGTGACATAGGACCAGGGTACATTTCAGTTCACTGTGAGTTAGGGGCCCAACTTGACAGCAGCTGAAAACAGCAGGCCCTCAGAAAAGGAGACGTTGGAGCAGAGACCTGGAAATGATGAAAGGGACTGCGTGGAAATTTCACATTTATTGTTTATTGCCAACGGTATAGGCCTGGCTTCCTGGGGATTGTGGTATTGTTAATGCCTAGCTGGCATAGTTCACTTTTGCATGCTTCTATGATTCTAATTTGTTTTCCTCCTACCCGCACCCCCTTGCTTTCCCATGACTTTGAAGTTTAACTAAGTTTCTCTTTTGAGAGGTAGAACGACCTTAGAGAGTAGAGCAACTCATCTGCGACGTGATAATAACGGGAAAAGATAACCTGCAAAGATTGCCAGATGCAGAATATAACTACTGCAAAAAAACTATAATCTTGTTCGTATAAAAAGTTTCAGCGAGTCTGCAAAAAGGAGACAGGTCTTTTGGAGGAGCTCATTCTCCTCTATCTCTTGTATATTGATATACAAAAGGTGCTGCTCACCTCACCCCGTCTCAGTATTGGCTTTTGCGGCAGGTGGCTCAGACCTGCCATTGCGGTAACAGTGATACCTGGGGAAGAGTGTTCCCAGCAGAAGAAACCAGCGGAGCAAAAGCCCACTGCTGGACCTGCTAGTTGTCTTCAAGAAACACTCTGTGGCCTGAGTTGGGGTGGTGGTGGTAGCTGAGGATGGAGGCCAGGGCCCAGCCATGGAAGGCTCCGGCAAGGACCGCAGATTGTCCTCAGTGCGGTGGGGAGCCCAGGTGTCAGGACCTACCCCTCATTTGCTAAGGTTCTCTCTGGTGCAGGTAGGAGGAAAGACAGCGGTGGTGGGGGGGGCAGTGGTGGTGCCGGGAGTCAGCCAGAGGCTGTTGTGCGAACAGGCTGGGACCAGGGTGGAAACAGTGACAAGCGTGTCTTAGTTTTCTGGGGCCACCCTAACAAAGCACCACAAAACTTCAAACAGCAGGAATTTCTTGTCTCACAGTCTGGAGACCAGAAGTCCAAATTCAGGGTGTCGGCAGGGCCATGTGCCCTCCGACGGCTCTAGGGAAGATTCTTTGTCCTGGCTGCTGCTAGCCCAGGCGTTCCTTGGCTTACTGCTGCAGCGTGACCCTGTTGTCAATAACTGTCCTCACTCTGTGTGTCCAGCTGTACCCAAAATGAAATCAAGGTGGCTCCTAATCATGGTTCCTCTGCCTTGTTGAAGGGAGAGTTGGAGCCTCACAAGGCACCCCACCCCCGGCCGACCTGGCTTTGATGAGTGCCCGATCCCAGGGGGTTGCCATCCGGCCTCGGCCCCTTTCGGTGGGAATGCGACTGTGTGTGCTCCTGCTGAAGTCATCACCTTCCTTTCACCTCCGAGTGGAGCGAGCAGGCGTGCTTGCACTGGGAGAACGATTTTCCAGAAAAAGTATTTGCATCTGTTTTAAACGTGTCTCCTTGGGAACATCAAGATCTGCAGAGCCCATCAGCGCCCAAGCAAATGACTTTCATTCGGGTGGAGGGCAGGGCCTGACTCCCACCCAGGGTTGAAGAAGGAAAACTGCTCAACGGCGGCGGATGGGGAAGGACACGCCAGGCCCAAAGGCAGACTCCCTCCCCCTGCAGCAGGCACTGCCCGGCCCCGCATCTCTCAGGATGGGCTGCTCAGGGAGGAGGACCCTATCTTTCCTCCTCATGTTGGTGCTCATGTATCTCCACACGGCTTCGTCCCAGGAAGCCCGTCCGCCAGGGCCAAGGAAGCCCTTCTTTGAGAGGCTCTGGAGACTGGAAGAGCAGGTAAGTGGCCTGTGATGTGGGGAGGCTGGCTTCTTAAGTAGAAGCAGATAAAGGACAGATGTGGCGCTCTGTGGGTACTGACGTGGGTTTGTCATTCATTTTGTCATCTGGCACCCGAAGCTGGGCTTGGGCGCCAACAAGAGCTTGGGCCGCACTCCTTTCTGAAGACACGTCCAGGGAGATGTGACGGGGAGTCAGAGGCGCACGGGGGATTTGGAAGATGGCTGGACACAGGCCGGGCAGCAGGGAGGGAGCCGACGGTGCGGGGCAGGAGCCCTGAGCACAGAGCGGGAGGGTAGCAGAGGGTGTGGACAGCCTCGGCAACCTCCGTGTAGGACCAGCATACAGCTCCTGAGTGCTGGCACCAGTGCCACCCATTTGCTCTCCAAGACCACCCAGGAAGCCCCTGCTCCTGTTCTGTCCACTCACAGGTGGACCCTGAGCTCACAGAGGGGAAGGGACACCCGGTGGCTGCCCAGCGTGTAGGGTGTGGGGCAGGGCTCGGACCCTGGCTGTCACCTGGAGTCCACACCCCACGCGGCACAGCTGTGCACCCTTGGGCCGGTCACCCACCTCCGTGCTCGTCGGCCACCAGTAACAGCATCCTGGAGTGCCACCCTCTGGATACCAGAACCCAGAACCAAACCAGCTGCTGTCAGGTCAGCTCTGCCTCACAGTCACCCCATGTGAGTTGCAGCAGAACGGCACTCCACAGGGCTTTCAGTGGCCGATTTTTCGGAAGTAGGTCTCCAGGCCTTTCTTTCACAGCACCTCTGGGGGAACTCCAAGCTGTTGGTTAGTAGCCAAACACATTTGCGCCGCCTAGTGACTCCCTCCAGGCCCCAGTCCGCCGTTAACTTTGATCTGTGAATAGGTGGCTCTTTGTCTGCTTTAGCAGCCCAGGGGGCCCCGTCGATCTGAAGGGGGGGTGTCCGCTATCCCAGGGAACTCTTGGGGCCCTCTCTGCCCCAGGGCTGACCTCAGTCACTGGCACACACCCCCAGGGCTGCGGTGAGGGTGTAGCCAGTCGATGCAGACGAAGCAGGTGCCTTGGGAGTGTGGGACATCTTGTTCCTGCCCAGCCCGGCCACCTTGTCACTGCCCTGTGTCCATTTTACAGTTCCAGAGATTCCAGGAGGTGACCCTAACCCATCTGCAGGGCATTGCCAGCAACTACAATGTGTCATACAACATTGACGCCCGCTTCCGGAGCCTGGCGCAGGAGAACCAGGCCATGGCCCTGGCGCTGAACCAGTCGCAGGCCGCTGTGCAGGGTGACCTGGGCCACCTGGAGACCTGGGTGCGGAAGACACAGCAGAGGGGCCGCAAGGTGGATGCAAAGCTGCTGGCCTTGGACCTGGCCCTGAGCGAGGGGACCCAGCAGCATGCCCAGGAACGCAAGGAGCAGAAGGCACAAGGTGACGCTGTCTCTGGCCTGGCCCTGGATGTACGGGCCCTGCAGGACACGCTGGCCAACCTGACGCAGCTCATGCACAGCCAGGGTGCCAGGCTGGCTGCTCTTGAGGGGCAGCTGCAGGCAGCCAGGCCTGACACCACAGCCCCCAGCCCGACCCCAGCCCCGACCCCGCCTCAGTGGCTGATCCCGAACCCCCTGCAGCTGCAGGGGGACAGGCAGGTGCTCCCAGCTTTGCCAGGGCACAGGAAGCCACCTCAAGACATCCCTGGCCGTCTGCCGGTGACGTGGGGGCCTGCCGGTGTAGCCAGCCAGGAGGCACCTCGAGAGGCAATTGCAGACCTTGGGGACCCTCAGCGGGCATGGCCCCCCCAGAGACCAGGAGAGAGTAAGTAGCCACAGCTGCTGTCTTCCATCCCCAGTCCCCCTTTCCCCTGAGGTACCTCTGTAATCACAAAGGTCCTTGTAAGGGGGAGACAGGAAGGTCAGCGTCAGAGAAGGGGATGTGACGGTGGAGGCAGAGGTCCCAGCGATGTGGGGCCGCCAGCCAAGGAATGTGGGAAGCTTCTAAAACCCATTGCATCGAGTGAATTCCGACCCTGCAGGACAGAGTAGAACTGCCCCATGGGGTTTCCAAAGAGCGACTGGTGGATTCAAACTGCTGACCTTTTGGTTAGCAGCTGAGCTCTTAACTACTGTGCCACCAGGGCTCCAGGAAGCTTCTAGAAGCTGGAAAAGGCCAGGAAGTAGATTCTTCCCTGGCACCTCCAGGAGGCAGCACAGCTGTCTCCACACCTTAGTTTAGCCGAGCGAGACTCATTGCAGACTCTGACATCCGGAGCTGGAAGAGAGTAAGCACATGTTGTTTGAAGCCGTCTTCGGGTTCTCTACAGAAGCAGAACTAGCAAGATGTGTACGTACAGAAAGAGATTTACTTCAAAGGACTGGCTCACACCGTTGTGGGGGCTGGTGAATCCATAATCCGCCCGTCAGGCGGCAGGATGGAGACTTGTGCAGGTTTGTGTCCCAAGATCCGGGACAGGAAGACTGCAGAGTCGAAAGAGAAAGTGAGATCCACCTAGATTTCTGTTTATAGTCTGAAGGCAAAACACACCCTCAGAAACGCCCCTTTCAAAGAAGCAGCTGATTACATTAAATGTATACAAGGCGATGATGTCACGTCACATCACATCACGGAACAGTAAATAGTCTAGAGTTTGGCAGAACCACCAGGAACCATGGCCAAGCTGACACAAAAAATTAGCCATTACAGGAAGCTCACAGGGCTCCCCCAGCGGTCGGGGGCGTCGGCTCAGCTTTGTGGGCACGTCCATGACTCGGCCCCCACCCCCGAGAGTCCTCTCTGCAAAGTGGAGGCAAGACCGAGGATAGACAGGGCTGTGCAAGGCCAGCCCTGAGCAGGGCCCGACACACGGTGCTCAATGGAAGCCGTGAGTGTTAGGTCCAGCCCCCTGGAGCGAAGGGTCTAGAAGCTTCCGGGTTGCCTCATGTGCAGGGCTGAGTCGCTCTCTTTCTGTTTCTAGTTTGCAACGTGGGCCCCGTGCTTGTGTTCCCCAATGCCTCCACAGAGAACGTGGTCTTCCTCCGCCCGGGCTTCCAAGTGGGCCTGCGGGCTTTGTCCGTCTGCAGCTGGGTCCGCACAGCCTCAGGCCGCCTGGGTACCCTTCTCTCCTACGCCACCGAGGAGAACGACAACAAGCTGGTGCTGCACGGCCGGGATTCACTGGTCCCGGGCTCAGTCCACTTTGTGATCGGAGACCCGGCCTTCCGGGAGCTGCCGCTGCAGCCATTGCTTGACGGCCGGTGGCACCACCTGTGTGTGATCTGGACGTCCACCCAGGGCCGCCACTGGCTCTATGTGGACCGCAGGCTGGTGGCCACCAGCTCCCGCTTCAGGGAGGGCTACGAGATTCCGCCCGGAGGGTCCCTGGTGCTGGGCCAGGAGCAAGACACCGTGGGGGGAGGGTTTGACAGTGCTGAGGCCTTTGTGGGGAGTGTGGCCGGCCTGGCCATCTGGGGCCGGGCACTGGCCCCCGGCGAAGTCTCAAGCCTTGCCACCAGGAAGGCAGTCCCGACAGGTGCCCTCCTGACACTGGCCAATGCCGAATCCGCAGGCGGATTCGTGCAGAGGGTGACTGGCACCTGCCTGGAGCTCCATCCATGAGGCCACATCTGCCATGCAGGAGCTGTGGCCACCGCCTACACGTGTAGGAGAAGCCAGCCTCTGCCGCGCTCGGCCACCCCTGACCCAGGCACTTTCCAAAAAGGGCACCCCCATCCTGGGTGCACACACCTGCTCTGCAGTATAGAGTGGGGGCTTTCCATCACGAGGGAGGGCGTGGGCGATGAAACAGCCCAGGGGAAAGAGAGGCCCGGCGGCCAAGGCCGGGACCTGCAGGGACCCCATCGTTCTCATTGCTGCTCTGTTCCTACGTGCGGCACAGTCAAAGCCTTGGTCCTCTCGTTCTTGGCATCTGACGCTATCTCAGCAGGGCCCGGTGGCCAGATGAGAGCCCTGAACTCAAGCAGCTGACCTCTGGGAGTGGCTCTGGGGCTACTGAAGGCCAGTGCTGGAGAGCTCCAGAAGCTTCCCCGGAAGCAGCTTGGACAGCACTTGACTCTCCTTGCCCTCTCTCAGGGGTGGTTAGGAAAACGGCCCTTTGGGTGATCTAATCCTAACATCTCTCACAAAAAGGGCCTGAGAGTCCATTTTCTGTCCCCTACGCCTACAGCCCCCCTTTGTCGGGAGCCTGGGGGTTTCCCTCGAGGTCAGCTAGCCAGTCTGCCCTGTTATCCTGATGGAGAGGATGGATGGAGGGGAAGCCCGCTTCAAATCAATGCGCCCCCAGGGCTGCTAAGCAAGACAAACGAGCAACCTTTTCACAAAAATTAATGGCTCGCTGACAACATTCTTAAAACAACTTGACTGAGTATAATATTCATACTATAAAATTCTCCCATTGTAAGTCTGCAATTCATAGACTCTTTAGTAAATGCACTGAGTTGTATGACCACCCCCACAATCCCGTTTTAGGACATTTGCATGACCCCGAAAAGAACGATGCCAATTAGCAGTCACTCCCTGCTCCCACTCTAGCCCTTCCCCCAGCTACTGGCAACCGCTAACCTCCTCTCTGTCTATCGATCGGTCTACTCTGGACATTTCATATAAATGGAATCATATAATGTGTCACTTTTTGTGACTGGCTTCTTTAACCTGGCACAATGTTCCCGAAGTTCAGCATGTTACGGCATCTATCAGTGCTTGGTTCTGTTGTATGGTTAAATAATACGCCATTGTCTGGACAGACCACATTATGCGTATCTGTTCACCAGATGATGAACATTTGCGCTGTTTGCGCTTTTTGGCTACTATGAATAAAGCTTCTGTGAACATTCTCATACAAGTCTTCATGTGGACATGTGCTTTCATTTCTCTTGGATAGATACCTAGGAGAGGAATTGCTGGCCCGTGTGGAAAGTTTGTCTCAACTTTTAAAGAAAATGCCAGATTGCTTTCCAAAGCGACTGCACCATCTCACATTCCCACCAGCAACGTGTAAAACAACCTACTTCTCCACCTCCTCATCAACACGCGTTATTGTCTGTTTGGCAACATGTTTTTTCAGAATTCCAAATAGTGGCAGATTGAAAAAAAAGAAGAAATAGAGATCTCAAATCGTGGCAATTAAAGAAACGTATGTACGTATGCATTCGTATATACATAATCAATGATGTTTTATTTGAGTTTCCACGTAGCATAAATTAATTCCTATAACTTTTGGAGATACCCAGAGAAAATTGTTATGGATTGAATTGTGTCCACCCAAAAAAGATGTGTTGAAGTCCTAACCTCTGAGTCTGTGACTGTGACCCCGTTTGGAGGTAGAGTTTCTGAAGATGTTATCATTCAGGTTAACACGAGGAGTGGGGGTGGGTCTTTTTCCATCCTGAGTGGTGTCCTTTCAAAGAGAAGAGACAGAGGGAAGATGGCCTTGTGAAGACGAGGCAGACGCATGTGTAAGCCAAGCAATGCCAAGGACTGCCAGGAGCCACCAGGGGCTGGGGGAGACACGTGGGACAGTCCCTCTCTGCAAGCGCTCAGAAGGAATCAACGTAGTCCATACTTGACTTGGCCTTCCAGCCTCCAGAACTGTGAGACAATAAGTCTCTGTTCTTATAAGCCACCCAGTCTCTGGTATTTTGTTACGGCGGCCCCAGGAAACCAGCACAAAGACCCCAAAGGTAAAATCCCACAAATCAGAAAGTCAATTGGACAGGTAGGAGAAAAGGCAGGTTTGATGCAGAAAATGGGGCCCTCCATCTGTCAGGCTTAGAATCGCTGAGTTTGGGAACAAGCCCGGTTCTCACCTACTAATCATGTACAGTGTGACAGAGGTTAATTTTAAAAGTGAGGAAATAGAATCAAGAAGCCCTGCAGCCCTTCCCTAGCAGAACTGTAATGCCCTGAGCCGCCCACCCTGCTTGCCTAGTGGTTTCACTTCTGCAGGGCGCGGGGCTACCGCCTGCGGGGCTGGATTAAAGCATGTGAGGGCCCTAAACACTGATACCTGCCATGCCCTCTCTGCTCACGTATTTGAATAGGATATGTGAGTTACACACATGCATGTACATATGCACATATGTATGTGTTTATATATTGCTGGACCTCCTGGCTGGAGTTGCTGGATCAACAGTCATGGGTGTACAAGACAGTCCTCTCAAAATGGATCAGAGGCTTGTTATCTATTAACATAATCCCTCCTTGCCCAGTAATCGCTCATGTTGGATCCAGTTGCATATTGGGTGAATGTAGCAAGAGTTAAACTCCACAGCCCACTCCCATCTCTTGCTTATTAGAAACAAATAGTATACTCCCAAGAGACCCGCCAAGATAAGGAGTTTCAGTTACATGGGAGAGGACCACGGAGACAGAAGATGTCAACGAAGATGTTGAAGCGATAGGGCCTCGTAGCTTAAACAACCTTGCGAGTGGGCACCCTTGTGACCCTGCCTGAACTTTATTTCCAGCCGGCACATTCTCATGCACTGGAGCTGCTATTAGTTCCATTTAGTGCCCTGCGACTTCCCTTCCACTGCTCACCTAAAGGTTGGAAGTTAGAGTTCACCCAGAGGCCTCTCAGAAGAAAGGCCTCGTGATCTACTTCTGAAAAATCAACTGTTGAAAACCCTGTGGGACACGGTTCTGCACTCACACACGTGAGGTTGCCAGGAGTTGGAGTCAACTTGAAGGCAAGCGGTTTGGTGTTTTTTGTTTAGGTAGATTGTAAGCGTCCCTGGGTGATTCAAACGGTTAACATATTCGGCTGTGTCTTAGTCATCTAGTGCTGCTATAACAGAGATACCACAAGTGGATGACTTTAACAAAGAGAAGTTTATTCTCTCACAATCCAGTAGGCTACAAGTCTATATTCAGGACAACAGCTCCAAGGGAAGGCTTTCTCTGTCAGCTCTGGAGGAAGGTCCGTGTCATCAATCTTCCCTTGGTCTGGGAGATTCTCTGCGCAAGAACCTCAGGTGCAAAGGATGTGCTCTGCTCCCAGCACTGCTTTTTTGGTGGTATAAAGTTCACATGCGTCTCTGCTCACTTCTCTCTTTTATATCTCAAAAAAGATTGGCTTAAGACACCATCCAATCTTGTATACCTCATCAGTACAACGGCCACTGATCTAGCTTATTAGATCATAGTGACTGAATTTACAACACATAAGGAAATCACATCAGATTACAAAATGGTATACAATTTTACAGTACTGGGAATCATGGCCCAGCCAAGTTGACAGAAATTTTGGGGGGACACAATTCAATCCATGACAGGCTGTTAACCAAAAGGCTAGAGGTTCAAGTTTACCCAGAGGTGCCTTGGAAGAAAGTCCTGGCAATCTAGTTCTGAAAAATCAGCCATTGAAAACCCTATGGAGCACAGTTCTACTCTGACATACATGGAGTTGCCATGAGTCAGAATCAATTTGACAGCAACTGGTTGTTTGTTTGTTTTCCATGTGCCTTAAATCTCTCAGCCACAGTCCCGCCTTGGCAGAGCTGTCTGCCCACGCCAGCAACAGTAGGCCTTCAGCTCAAAGAGCAGCCAGCCTCCCCCAACACCACTGATCTGTGAGTCAATGTCAGCGCCAGCATGTCAGACTGGAAACCCCCCGTCCCCGGAACGCCCACGTGGCGGGCTCCCTGAATCACTGTGTTACTTCCCCCCGCAGCATCCCCAGGACATTTCTCACTTTACGGAAGAAACTTCCTCAACCTTTTCTTTCTCAGTCTCTTCTGGAGTTTCGGGAACTTTCTTGCTCCACCCCACTCTGCTGTTGAGAGAGCAAAGATGCCATTGCTCTGGGAAGACCCGTCACTCAGTCAATGTCAAGAGGCACAGCCAGGGCCACAGCAGCATTTTCACTCATTTAAAGTGAAAAAACATGCACGAGGCCATTGCCATCACCCTCTGCTCTCCGGGGCTCATCGTGGCAGGAAACCACAGTTTTACATGTTCTCAGGAGTGTTTGGCTAAGTGGCCACGGGCTCTGGAGCCGCAGGAGGTCAGCAGAGGCGAGTCGCTGCAGGCCGCCATGTTCTGGATGTTCCTTGGGTGGGCGGGCGGCTGGAGCAAGGGCTTGGCGAAGGCACGAGTTAGCTGTGTCTGGGGCCAAGGAAGGCAGCAGGGAATGGGGAGTTATTGCTTTAAAAGAGAGAACGAGAGCGAGAATCAGGGTCAACAAAAAAAGACAAGCTACGGATTGGGAGAAAATGTTTACATACCATACATCTGGTAAAGGACTTAGAAAAAAGGAGGGGGTGTGTGGCAAGCATATCCTTGTCACCATCTCTCTCTCCAAGGGCAAGACCAGGGCACACCAATGAGAAAAACACATTTTTAGAAAAAATGTGGTTCTTGGTATTTCCAAAAAAGCATTGCAGAGTAATTACAGGGTAAATTCAAAACTCTGCCGGACTTCCTTCTTCTTTTCGAGTTTAGTTTTGGTTTGATTTTGAAGACATATGGGGGGGGCAGCTCTGTCATCTTTTCAGCCTTAGAAGATCTAAAGGACTCATTTTTTCTAAAGGACTTTTAAAATCTTTTTATTCGGAAAAATTTCAAACCAAAAAAAAAGTTGCAAGACTAGTTAGTACCTTGCACTTCATATACCCCTCACCTAGATTCATGAAATGTTACTAAGACAGAGGTCCCCAGGCTGCAGAAAATTCCAGTGCTTCAAGCAGCTTGCTTGGCTCACCCAGAAGCTTTGCGTTCGAGTCCTGGTTCCCTGTAGTTTTACATTAAAATCCTGGTTCCCGTCTCCTTGACTGCAGCCCAAAACTAGCGGAGACGGAGACCGGTTCAGGTGCCGTGTTAACATTCAAGATAACCTTCTAGACCTCATACATAATAACTTGCCCGCCTTTGGTGGAGTTTAGCCGCCATTTCCTGAACAGGCGATGCCTGAAGTGGTACGTAAACCTCATTACATCTGCGTAGTATGATTAAGAACGTTGCTGATGTAACTCGTATGAACTTTCCATCTGTAACCCCCTTAAAAATAACCTTCCCCCTTGCCCTCGCCGAGCAGTCTTGGGGGCAACAGTTCCGACTGCTCCTTCCCTTTGCAACGAAATAAAGGCGCCTTTCTACTCTCCCACCCTGGTCTCTCCTTTACTGGCTGAGACTAGTCACGCCAAGCAGAACCTGAAGTTTCCCCCTGGCAACAACATCACGAGACAAAAATGGCTGCCGAAGGGCATCGTGGTTGGTGGAGTAGAGGGCCAGAGACTGCGCGTCTGAGATGGATTGGCACAGTGGCTGCAACGCTGGACTTGAGGACGCAGCGATCGTGAAGAGAACACAAGGCTGAGCAATGTTTTGTTCTCTTGCACGCAAGGTCGCCATAACTCGAAGTCAACTCAACGGCAACAATCAATTTCTATTCTTTAAAGCGGTCGACATCAGTCCTGCCTAACTAGGTTAAATTGCAGTAACACCTCCCTGAGTTTCACAGCGCCCAGCCCCGGGTCTCAGCGTGAATGAGAGCCGGTGAGGAGAGGCGAGCGCTCCTGTTTGCAACCGGCGAGGTCGACGGGGGCCGGAACTACAACTCCCAGAAGACCCCGCGCGCATGGCCCTCCGCGGCCGCCGTCGCGCATGTCATGTGGCCACCCGGCGCCGGGTCACGGGAACAAACACCCGGCTGCGGGCGCTCCTGGGCCAGTTCTCCTCTCCGCGGCCGGCAATGGCCAACGTCTCCAAGAAGGTGTCGTGGTCCGGCCGCGACCTGGACGACGAGGAGGCGACGCCGCTGCTGCGGAGGACGGCGCGGCCCGGGGCGCCGCCCAGCGAGGGGACGCCGCTGCTGAACGGCGCCGGGCCCGCGGCCGCTCGTCAGGTGAGGCCAGCGCCCTGGGAAACTGAGGCCTCGAGCCCCGCGGTCCCGGCCGGGTGGGACTTCCGGGCCTTGAACCGAGCCCCCGTCTGGCCACGGAGGGCGGCTCCCCTCGGCTGCCCGGTGCTGCTTCGCCGTGCGGTGGGAGGACCGGGAGGGCGTCGGCAAGACGGCCCGGCCGCTCTGAGACGGGGCCTGCGGCTTTGACGAGCGCAGGGGTCGTCCTGCCGCGGCTCCCGAGTGTTGATGCTTTCTGTCGGCCGGGCCGGTTCTAGCGTGCGCGTTACAGGACGTAATCCCGCCTGACCCTTACAGCAGCACTGTGAGCTGAGTGGGCGTGGTGTCCGTGTCTCAAAGATGTGGAAATGGAGGCCCAGGTGGGCTCGGGAACTTGCCCGAGGTCTCGCTTCGTCAGCGGCAGAGCTAGCGTGGGAGCCTGTTGTCGAGGGGCGCCATCAAGTCGATTCCGACTCACAGCGACCCCATATGACAGAGTAGAACTGTCCCGCAGGTTTTTTGGGCTGTAATTTTTATTGCCGCCCTCGTTCGTATGGTGGTGGGTGTCCCCGCCTGTCACGCGGGAGAGCGGGGTTCGATTCCCCACGGGGAGGCAGACGCCCTTTTTGGAAACTGTTGTGGCATATTGGTTAAGAGCTGCGGCTGCTAACCAGGTTGGCAGTTCGAATCCACCAGGCGCTTTTTGGAAACTCCATGGGGCAGTTTTTCTCTGTCCTATAGGGTCGCTTTGAGTCGGAATCGACTCCACGGCAACGAGCTTTTTTTTAAATCTTCACAGGAGGAGATCACCAGGTCTTTCTCCCATGGAGCTGCTGGGTAGTTCCAACCACCAGCCTTTTTGGTCAGCAGCGGAGCACTTAGCCGTTGTGCCAGCAGGGCTCCTTAGCATGGGAACCGACGTCCTGGGATTCTGGGGTCTGGCGGAAGCCCTGGGGCGGGTGATTAGTAAGGCAATAGGGACAGGCAGAGCTCATCATGAGACTCTGAGCTGGTTTTATGAGCGTGAATGGGTGCTAGCCGGTCCTTTGCAGCCATAAAGCAAATTTATTTCTTTACGTTTCTGAAATGGTTTTAAGGGAATGTTTTCTGCTCTGGTGACTTCTGAAAATTATAATAAATACAGGAGGAACTTTTTTTGTTTTGTTTGGATTTGGTGTTTTGAATCCCAGGAGATTGTAGCCGTTTAGATGGTAGTTTTTCTCTTTCGGTGAGAGTGACAGAGAAACCATACCCGCCCCCCTTTGCCCATGGGAATCAGTGCAGACGCTCCAGCGGCCTTAGGAACGCGGAGCATTGGTCCTCGGTTCCCCTTAACAGGAAGTCATTGTGGAAATATACTAAGCAACAAGCCAGAGTGGTCGAGTGTGCCAGCGTGACAGCAGCGCAGCCTGGGTCCCTAAACGCAGTCAGATTTGGAGCAGGATTTCAGTTAAATTCAGTTCCTGTTGTATATGTGTGAGGAGCCCTGGTAGTGCAATGGTTAAACGCTAGGCTGCTAAGTGAAAGGTTGGCGGTTCAAACCCACCAGCCGCTCCGCGGGAGAAAACACCTGGCAGTCTGCTCCCGTAAAGATTACAGCCTAGGAAACTCTGTGGGGCAGTTCTATTCTGTCACATGGGGTCACTGTGAGTAATAATTGACTCTGCGGCGCCCAACAACAAGAACTGTGTGTGTGAGACATTTCGACAAAGGTAATTTTAAGTTAATGAATTATTTTTGTTGACTATTTGGTCTTATTCTGATTTCCAGTTATTCTTGCTCTGCCTTTTCTCCCTTGGTTCTAGATTTGTCGTTTAACTACTAGTATGGTGTTTAAAGATTAGGAAGGACTGTTTCTGCAGTCCCTGGCGATGCATCAGACACTGAGGATGAGGACTGGCTCTTTGCTGGTGGGAGACAGCTCAGCCCCTTCCGTGACGTCATCAGCTGAAGCGCTTTCTGTGCTCTGCATGAGAAGGGATCTAAAGTGCTGATTCTGGGTGGTGGGATTCCGGGTGACTTGTTATTTTCTTTGTACGTTTCTGTTTCTTTTTTCGTGTTTTAAAAGATAATGATTTGAAATTCACAAGATAAAAGGATAACACTGGCCTCGAGGATTGAGAGGTAGAGGTTGGAGACCTTGAATGAGGTTGAGTTTGAGTTTGTCCCATGATCCCATGTGCTTGAGATTTCTTGCCTCTCTTTGCAAATAGGTATGTTGTTAGGTGCCATCGAGTTGATTCCGACTCACAGCGACCCCATGTAACAGAGTAGAACTGCCCTGTAGGATTCCCTAGGCTGTAATCTTTATGGGCACAGATCACCAGCTCTTTTCTCCCACAGAGCCACTGGGTAGGTTTGAACCGCCAACCTTTCAGTTAGCAGCCAAGCAGTTAACCTTTGCACCACCGGGGCTGCAAATAGGTGTAGGAGTGGGGTGTTTTGGAAAGAGCCTGTTGGTCTCTTACATTCCCTTACAGATCTGTCCAGCCTTTTTTGTTTTGTTTGTGATTAATAGCAATCGATTATTTGCTCTTAAACAATTTAAAAAAACAGTGCATCGTCCACCTGATATGTGCCGGGGACACAGAGGTGAATTAAAGCAACTTCTTTCCCACCAGCTCGAGACTCATGGGGAAGCTCAAGGGGGAAGAAACAGGCCCAGGGCACCTGAGGACTGTGTGAGGGGCCCCAAGGGCAGGAGAAGGGCCTTGCTTCACCCTCCTTGGTGGAAGGCTGGAATGCAGTGTGGGGAGGGAGCTGGAGAGGGAGGTGGGACCCAGCCTCGTGCAGGCTGCCGGGCAAGGGGGCAGCTAGAGGCAGGGAGACGGGTCAGGCTGGGTGGCCACGTGCCCTCCGAGGCTTCTGAGGCATTTGTACCAGGAGCCCCACTCTGGACCATAGAGGGTCTTGGGCCAGTTGCACAGCCTCTCGGTGACTCACCTGCAAAAGTTAACACGTGAAGACAACTCAGCCCAGTGCCTGTTGCAAACCACGTTCTCAGTCATGTTGCTCGTCATCATTCGCGTTAAAATCAGCAGCGCAGGAACAGTTCGTCCTTGGGTCTGACGTTCGTGGCACGACCTCGTTAGTGGCTGGTGTAACGTCTGGATGCTGCTTTTCTTCGAGGGCAGGGGATCTGCTTGGGCCAGTGGCTAAGCTCATTGGTGGGCTCCGTGTGCTCCCCAGTTCTGCAGTAGACGGGGGTTCTGGAAGCTGCTCTCTGTCCAGCCTGGCGGCAGCCCTGGAGGCGCTTCTCCAAGGACCTGGGGTGTAGGGAGCCTGCCCTAGCCACCCCCTGGTCCCTTGGGGTTTGTGGTGGGATTCCCAGAGCTGGGCAGCGTAGGTGCCTCTTTGGCATGGGACCTGGCCCACCATCACAGACCCTCCTGCAGGAAGTCGCTGCCGTGGGCAGAGTGCAGCCACTCAGATGCTCCGTAGCAGTAGCAGGCATCGCTGGGTGGGACAGACTGGGGACTTGCCTTTCCGTGCTTGGGCCCAGCTTCAGGCTCAGCCTCAGCTGGACCCAGATCCTGGTGGGCTGCTCCTCCCGTCCCCGGGCCCGAGTGGGGGTGGCAGCAGCAGCTATCGAGCGTATCACTGCCCCTGCTCTGCTGGGACAGGGAGGGTGAGGTCAGCCGTAGAGTCACTGTCATGTGTGAGGGCAGGACAGCGGGAGTGAGCGTCTCGTGAACTTACAAAGAGAAGCCTGTCTGAGCCCGGAGCAGAAGGCTCTGGGGCGGGGATGGGGCAGGATCTGCAAGTGCCGGGAACCTGCTTGGCAGAGCTGCACCTGAGACCCCGGCAGGGTGGGAAACCCAGGTCAGTGTTGGGAGTTGGCTCCAGGCAGGGACTGGGGAGACCCCGGGGGCTGCAGGCGGCCGCGGCATCCTCAGCTCTCCATGTAGAGCCAGGTGCACGTGGGTGCGCAGTGAGTAGGACGCAGAGCAGGGCAGCCACATGTAGATTCCTAGGAAACTACAGAGGTGGTGCAGGGGGCCCTGTGTACACTTCACCCAGTCTCCCACATGGTCACATCTGTGTCAGTGTGTTACGAAGTCTTGGGTGGTACAAAGGGTGAACACGCGCGCCTGTTAACTGAAAAGTCGAAGATTCGAGTCCACCCAGAGAAGCCTCAGAAGAAAGTCCTGGCGATCCACCTCCGAAAAATCAACCACTGAAAACAGTTCTGCTCTGGAACACGTGGAGTTGTCATGAGTCGAGATCGATTCAGTGGCAACTGGTTGGAGGCAGCAGTGGTTCAGGGGTAGAATTCTCACCTCCCACGTGGGAGACCCAGACTCTATTCCCAGCCAACGCACTTAACGCGCAGCCACCACCCACCTGTCAGTGGAGACTCGCGTGCTGCTGTGATGCTGCACAGGCTGCAGGAGGGCTTCAGCCAATGAAAACCCTATGGAGCACTGTTCTTCTCGGACACCCATGGGGTTGCTGTGAGTCGGAGTCGACTTGAGGGCACCTGATGACTGGTTGGTTTCGCCGGGAGTGAGGAGTGAAGTGGAGGTGGGCAGGGTGCCCCCCCCCACGCCCTTGGGAAGGCTGATGGGCAGGCGGGCTGCCGTCGTCCTCTCACAGGGGGCTCTCAGTTCCCCTTTGCTGGGGGCACAGCTGGCTCGTCTGCCTGTGTTCTCCGTCTGTGGCCTGTCCACCACATGGACACATCCCTGAGAAATGTGCTCGATGTGTGGCGGCCTGGCCAGTGCAGGGCCATGGTACACTTCTTGTCACACGGCCACCTCTGAGCCCAGCCTGGACAGCGGGGCCGCAGCAGCACCGGGGCCTCCTGGCTGGAGTTCAGTCCTGGGCTAGCACTTCCTTCGGTCCGCAGCCCGTGGAGCAGGGCCCTCCAAGCGTGGCTGGAGCCGGGGAGCCCCGCGCTCCACCTTTTTCTCTGGACTCATCCGTTTGGGGACATTGCCAATCGTTTTTCAAAGAGAAGCACCAGTTTTTTCTCATTTAATAAACGGTGTTACTGGCGTTTGTCAACACGAAACAGCACGAGGTACCTCAGGACTTCATGTGGCTTTACTGAGGAAAGTGCCTGAAGGGTTACAGGCGTGAAGGGGAGAGTGCCTCGGGTGGTGACGACGCATCGTCTGCTGGTGGCACTGATGCCATGGGAGGTGGGCCCAGCCATGTGGGGTGGTCTCCACTCCCCCACCCCACTAACCAACAAGGTCGGGGTCCTGTTCTCCTGCCCTGCCGTCTGGGATGCTCACCCCCCAGAACTCAGGGTCCTGACACCCCAGACTCAAACGCTAGGGCTGCAGGGCTGCTCAGTTCTGTCCGTGGGCCCTGGAGCACAGGGTGGACCACTGCAGAGGGCTTGGGTGGAGGCATGTCCTCGCGTCCCGTCGGAACCGGCAGGCATTGGTTGTGGGGCTGGCGGCCAGCGGCCAGCGGGCAGACTGTAGGGCCATTTTCTGGTGACAAAACCTGGAGTTTGCGATGCTTGCTCTGTTCCCCTGGGTGAGTGTGGGCATGTGCACGTGTGTCTACCTGTGTATGTGTTTGTACGCATGCCTGTGTTTGAACAGGAATGAGTGCACGTGTGAGCGTTCATGTTCGCCTGTGTGGCGCGTGTGCGCATACACGTGTGGGTGCGTGTGTGTGCACGTGTGCCTCTATGCACACAAATGAGTGCATGTGTGAGCATTCAGGTTTGCCTCTGTGTGCACGTGTGTGCATACCTGTGTATGTGTGCGTGCGTGTGCGTACGCGTGTGGGTGCGGGTGTGTGTGTGCGTGTGGGTGTACACGCGTGTGTACACGTGTGGGTGCGGGTGTATGCACGCGCGTGTACACGTGTGTATGCATGTGGGTGTGGGGGTGTGGGTGTATGCGTGTGTGTACGCGGGTATGTGTATGCGTGTGGGTGCGGGTGTGTGTACGCACGTGTGTACGCGGGTGTGCGTACATGTGTGTGTGCGGGTGTGTGCGCATGCACATGTGTGTACGCGCGTGTGCGTACACGTGTGCGTGCGCGCGGGTGTGTGTGCGCACGTGTGTACGCGGGTGTGTGTGTGCGTGTGTGCGCGCGGGTGTGTGTACGCGTGTGTGCGTACACGTGTGGGTGCGTGTGTGCGTACACGTGTGGGTGCGGGTGTGCGCACGCGCGGCTGTGTGTGTACGTGTGTGCACGCGTGTGTGTGCACACGTGTGTGCCTGTGCGTCTGTGTTTGAGCCTGTGCATGTGCATGTTTGCATATGTATGTGTGCGTGTGTGTAGAGGAGCCCCAGCCCAGGGCCCCCCTTTCCCAGCACTTCATGTCCAGGCATGCACTGGGAGGGTGGTGGTAGTGCCCCCAGGCAGGTTGAGCCGTTTGGAGCCAGTGCAGGCCCAGTGAGGCCGCCCTGGAGAAGTATCCCTGGAGTTGGGGCCAGCTGAGCAAGCCCCCAGGACGAGCAGGCAGGGGTCCAGGTGGGGACACAGGGCCTGGTCACCTGGGAGGATGCAGGCTCCACCGTGGTGGCGCTATTGGGCCTCCCTCCTCGTGACAACAGGTGTGTTAGCCCATCTCTGAGGTCACCTGGGATACCGGCGGGGGGTGGGAAGCTTCAGGTGAGCGAAGCCCAGTCTCTGCTCCAGGGGACTCACTGCTCATCGCCAGGCTGTGGGGCCCCCACTGCAGCACTTCTGCGGGGTGTGGGTGGCAGGACGGTGTCCGGAGCGATGCCCTCTTATGTCCCCGCGCCTCACCGCCCCCTTCTGCTTCCAGCTGCCCCGCTCGGCATTTTTTCGGATTGGACTGATGAGCAATGTGGAGCTGGACGACGAGCTCCTTGACCCGGTGAGTGGGCGGGTGGCAGGACACACTGCTGAGGGCAGGGGACGGCGGCCAGGGGGCGCTCTGAGACCCGAATGACCGCAGAGATGGAGTGCAGTGGGGGAGGGTGCACGCCAGGAGCTGGGCCGGGTAAGCGTGGTGTTCTGGGGGCTGGAGTCTGACTCCCAGGGGGCTAGGAAGCAGTGGAGAGCAGGGGGCGTCTCCACCTCGGTGTGGGTACACCCCGCCCCCAAAGCAAGCCCCATGCTGCACTTGGACCCTCTGCCGTCAGTGGCCGCCGCCGGGGGGAAGGTTCTGAGCCCCCAGCAGCAGAGCTCGGTCTCGCCTTCCCCTTGGAGCATTTTGGCCTGGGAAACCTTGTCTCAGAGGTTCTACCTGCAGCCAAACCGGTGCCTCAGCTAGGTGAGCGGAACCAGAGGCACTCACCTGGTAGCGGACTTTCTGAAGCCTCTGGGCAGACGGTAACCTGTGTGGACCTCGGTTGCCTTTGTGGGCACCTGTCCTCCACCCACCCTGTCTGCCCTCCTCAGGCCCCTGACACACCTGTTAGGGAACCTGCCTCCCAGCTGCGCAGCCCCTGAGTCCTGTCCCCACTGCCTGCTTCCACAGCCCTGCTGTCCGGGGCGCAGGGCCGCCGGGGGTGGGGCCGCCAGGGGGATATGAGGATGTCTTGGTGTGTGCTAGAACTTCATTTGTTTTTATGAAAGAATAATATCCCGTTGTACAGATGGACACGTTGTGTGTCTGTCATGTTTTGGTGGGCACTTGGGCTGTGTCCACGTTCTGGCTGTTGTGAACAGGGCTGCTATCAACATCGGTTTTGCACGTATTTGCATTGCTGCTCTCAAGGCCGCTGGGTACATGCCTGGGAGCGGAATCACTGGGTCCCTTGGTAACCTTATGTTTAACTGAGGACCCAGTGGCCTATTTTCTGCAGTGACTGCGCCCGGCCTGCATTCCCACCAGCAGTGCATGCGGGTTCTGATTTCCCCACATCCTTGCCGACACCTGTTGTTACAGTCGCCCTGCTGACCGTGTCTCTTGAAGTGACTGTGTGGGGTTTGTCCTCTGTTCTTCCGCTGCGGGGCGTCACACTGATTGGGTTTCAGACATGAAACCAGCTGTGTGTTCCTGGACGAGCCCCGCTTGGTCACCGTGTTGCTGTGTTCGGTTTGCAGCATCTTGTTGACGATTTTTGCATCCGCATTCAGAAGGGATATTAGCCTATGACTTTCTTTCGAGGTCTTTGGTTTTGATGACAGGGTCCTGCTGGCCCCAGAGAGTGCGTGGGGACGCGTCCCTCCTCCTCCCATGTCCTGGTGGTCACGTGGGCGGCTCTCCCCTTCCTCCACAGGGGATGGATCCCCCTCAGCCCTTCCCCAGGGAGATCCCGCACAACGAGAAGCTGCTCTCCCTGAAGTATGAGGTGAGCTCTCCCACACGTGTCCAACCCGTCCAGCCCTGGGGCGGCTGCTCCCCGGGCCTCGGGCCCCAAATGGCACTGGCAGTGACTTGCTCTCCCCCTGTGCGGCCCGCAGAGCCTGGACTATGACAACAGTGAGAACCAGCTGTTCCTGGAGGAGGAGCGGCGCATCAACCACACAGTGAGTGCAGCCCTGGCACTGCTCCCCGGCCGCCACTCCCCCGGCCGCTGCTCCCTCAGCGAGTCCCACCTTCGCATCTGGAGGCCTGCTCCTTCCTGCCTGGGTATTGCTTGGCTCCCCAGTACAGGTCATGGCCACTGTAGCCGAGGTGCCAGATGCGGTGGCACATGTGTGACTAGCTGGCCGTGAGTTTGCTGGGAAGGTTAGCCCCTGCCCTGCAGGGCCCCGGCTCTTCAGCGCCTTCCCACCCCATAGGGCCCCTGCTTCGTAGGGTACCTCCTCTCAGCGCCCCTGCCCCCTTAGGGGCCCCACCCAGGTGGGCTCTGGCAGCTTTCTTGCTGTGAGATGCTGGTGGAGCTGCCCTTTGTGGCCCTCAGCGTGACAAGCACAGTGTGCTGTGCACGGCGTGGCTGGCAAGGTCTCGGGGCCGTTGAGCAGCTGGGGCTCGTCATGCTGTCAGCAGAGCAGCCGTGACGGGCCCCCCGCACTCCCCCAACCCCTGTAGGCCTTCCGGACAGTGGAGATCAAGCGCTGGGTCATCTGTGCTCTCATTGGCATCCTAACCGGCCTGGTGGCCTGCTTCATCGACATCGTAGTGGAGAACCTGGCCGGGCTCAAGTACAGGGTTGTCAAGGACAGTATCCTCGGGCCGCCCCATGGCAGGGATCACGTTGCATGGCCTGTCCTGTGGGCAGGGACGCGCTGAGCCCTGCGATGTGCCGTGCACTTGGGGGCCTGATGGGCTGTGTGATGTCTCTGGAGGGTCTCCTCAGAGCCCAGGACCCTCTGGCCACCTCGCCAGGCGTGGCCCATTGGGGTCTGTGTCTGTTGGGCCGGGAGCCATGCTCAGGCCTTGGGCCAGCTGCGTGGGGGTGGGCAGGAGGGCGGGGTGCTCCGAGTCCTGTGGTGAGCTGCCTTCCTTGACGAGCCGAGACATCGACAGGTTGACGGAGAGAGGGGGCCTGTCCTTTTCCCTCCTGCTGTGGGCGACGCTCAACTCGGCCTTCGTGCTTGTGGGCTCATTCATTGTCGCTTTTGTCGAGGTGCGGGGCCCCCCAGTGTCTCGGGGCTGGAGGGTCTCGGTGGGGGGCCAGGACTCCCCCAGTCGTGTGCTTCCCCTCTCGCGGTCCCGTGGACCAGAGCGTCCCATGATTAGATGTGACAGAATCGTTGTGTGCATGTCACATTTTCAGTGAAAACAAAGTGCATCTGGGCCTCCTTGGCCCAGGCCCCCAGCGGTGCTGCCACCATCCACCACCACGGCCGTCCAAGTGCCGCGTCCACACGGAGCCAGGGCCCTGCAAGTGACAGGCACCAGGAGCCGGGCCAGGGAGTGCTCTGGGGCAGGGTCTCAGGAGGGGGACAGACTCATCCCAGGTGCAGGTGGAGGAAGGTGCTGGAACCCGGCACCCATGGGTGGGACTGCGGCCCGAGGTCAGGCCTCTCGCAGCCCTCTCCTGCCAGCCCTTCTTTCAGAGACCTCCCTTCCCCTGGGCCCACTTCCTCTGTCCCCCCACCCCACACATCCTGGGGTGTTGGGTAGAGAAAGGGCCAAGTCTAGGAGCTCCTCTGGGTGCAGAGCAGTGGCCCTTCTCTGGCACGTGACGTGGCCGCCTGCCCTGTCTGGGGACGTCCCTACCAGGGCCCCTGCCCCTTGCAGTGGGGGTTCCTCTGTCCCCCTCCACATACACATCCTGGGGTGTTGGGTAGAGAATGGGCCATGTCTAGGAGCTCCTCTGGGTGCAGAGCAGTGGCCCTTCTCTGGCACGTGACGTGGCCGCCTGCCCTGTCTGGGGACGTCCCTACCAGGGCCCCTGCCCCTTGCAGTGGGGGTTCCTGTCTCCACTGCCTGTGTCTCGTGTGGACCCCCTGGCAGAGGGGGGAGGAGTGATTTCCCCTCGGCCAGGCTGGGTTCCCCCAATCAGTGCAGACCCCCTCTTGCAGCCGGTGGCAGCGGGCAGTGGTATCCCCCAGATCAAGTGCTTTCTCAATGGGGTGAAGATCCCCCACGTGGTGCGGCTCAAGGTGGGTATGAGGGGGCCGGGGGTGGTGCCCCACATGGCTGCAGCCTGAGGAGGGTTGGGCAGGGGCAATCCATGGGGCACATGGGCTTGAGGGGGCCGAGGGCATCCTCGAGTGCAGCAGGCGAGCGGGCAGGAGATGACCGGGAGGTGTGGGGAGGGGCAGGCGGCTACCGCTCTCAAGCTGCTGGTCGCGGCGGGCATGGTCAGGCTTGGCATAGACATGAAGATGCAGAAAGGGGGATGGAGCCCCCGGGGGCCGGAGCCTCGCTGTGGCTTCTGTACCGCGGGCGCCTCCCCCCATGGCCGCGTTGCCTGTGCAGGTTTGGCCTGCTCGGACAGTGTTTGTCCTTGGTCACAAACAACTGCTTCTCCTTGCGTCCCAGACCCTGGTGATCAAAGTGTCGGGGGTGATCCTGTCTGTGGTGGGCGGCCTGGCTGTTGGAAAGGTAACGCACCTGTGCTGGCTGTCCTGGCGTCGTTTCTCCCCTCGGCACTGCAGTGGCTCAGGCTGTCGCTCCGTCTGACGCCCTGCCTTTCAGGAAGGGCCCATGATCCACTCGGGTTCCGTGATCGCCGCCGGCGTCTCCCAGGGCAGGTCCACTTCGCTGAAGCGTGACTTCAAGGTGGGTTCCGCCCGCCCCAGCGCGAATGTGGACACGCAGGCGGGCGCGAGGCTATGGCGTCCGGGAGGCCTGGCCCCTGCTGCGGGGACATCCTTCCCTGAGCTCCAGGCAGACCGAACCCTCGAGGGCACCGTCCCTGTGGCCCCTGCGGTGCGGGCGTGGCCCCGCTTTGCCCTCCGATGCTCCGCCGTGATCTCGCCGTGACCGCAGGCCATTCGGTGGCAGAGCCTTCATTACTGGCTGTCCTCTGGTGAAGGCCCAGGCTGGGTGTGCGCTGCGGGGTGGGGGTGGGGTGGCTTCAGTGTTCGGAATATCCAACCTGTGCAGCCTAGCTGGGCAGACTGGGACTCTGACGGTCCCGTGGGCCCCGGTCCGTGAACCCCCTGAGTAGTCCCTCTCCTGCTCCTCCTCCTTCCCATCTGTCTTGGTGGCTCGAGACGACCACCTTCCTTCTGAGAGCAGCGCCTTGGAGGGCCTGGATGAGCCCTCTGTCTGTCTGCTCCCTCTGTAGATCTTCGAGTACTTCCGCAGAGACACGGAAAAGCGGGACTTTGTCTCTGCAGGAGCTGCGGCTGGCGTCTCTGCTGCATTCGGGGCCCCCGTAGGTAAGAGGAGCCGGCTCATCACCCCTCAGGGTGGCCCTGCCCCTGCGGGTCCTCTCTGGGAGCTCTGCGCCACCCAGTTCTGGGGCTGGATTTGCCTGCGTGCTGAGGGGTGTGCCTGGGGCATCAGCTCGCTGTGCACTTGGGCTGTAAATGAGTCACTGCTGGACGGTCGGAGGCGGCAGCCGTGGAGCGGGCATACCCCTGCTCCCTGACGGCTTCTGGCTGATGAGACCCCGGCTCCGTCGGGTTTTGGCGGGGGGGTGGAGTGAACTGGGGTCCACCTTGTGGCCCTGGGGATGGCACAGGTGTGTCAGGGCGGCCCTGGCCTTTCCAGGTGGCGTCCTGTTCAGCTTGGAGGAAGGCGCCTCCTTCTGGAACCAGTTCCTGACCTGGAGGATTGTAAGTGCTGCCCTCACTCACCCCTTGCCCACCCCTCATCCGAGTTGGGTCCTCACCCTGTCTCCTGCTTTGGTGTCAGGGCCACAGGCCTGTCCTGCTCTCACAGCCAGGTCCCACAGGGCTCCATGTGCCCCCCCTACTCCATCCCCGGTCGTCTGACCCCAGAGTGCTGTGCGTCCTCTCTCTGCCGAGCTCACTGTCGGTCCTAGATGTCAGACATTGGGTCCCCACCACTCCTCCGGGCCCCCGTGGTGGGGCAGTGGACTGTGGACCGCAGACCGTGCACCTTCCCCTCCCACTCACGCTGACTTGCCTTGTCGCTCATGCAGACGGGGCCAGGGGCCCACCCTGCCCAGCCGCCCTCTCTGGCCATGTGGTGGCTCAGCCAGCCGGGCACCACGTCCCACTTTCCCCTTGGTGGAGTCTCCCCCGAGCCCCCCTCCCTCGGCCCCACCCCACGATCCGGGTGCCGGGTCTGCTGCGGCCCTGACGCCGGCCCCTGGTGCTGCCTCCCTGCCCAGTTCTTCGCCTCCATGATCTCCACCTTCACCCTGAACTTTGTGCTCAGCATCTACCACGGGAACATATGGGACCTCTCCAGCCCGGGCCTCATCAACTTCGGGAGGTTTGACACCGAGGTAACCGCCGGGCTGCCCAGCTGCCCCACATGCCACACTCTGTGATGCAGGGCCGCGTCCTCGAGCTCCCACCGGGGTTGGGGCTTCTGGAAGCATCTAGCTTTCAGCTCCAAGCTGGGCCCTTGTCTATAAACTCCAGTTTCCTGAGGCGCTCTGCTGGGTAAGGGCTCATGGGAGCAAACTGCGGGCTAGGATGCCCTGTTGCTCCTGGGCCAGGAAGGCAGCAGAGGGCCTGGCAGTGGACCAGCTGCCACGGACTGCTGTGTGTCCTGAGCTCTGTGAGCTCAAGACGGTACACAGGCAGCCACCCCATCCAGAGGGACAGTGTGGGTTCGGCCAGCCCTCCCAGGGTGCCTGGCTACGTGCTGTGGAGCCCCCGCACGTCAGAATCATGGGCTCCGGGCGCCCCATGCCGAGAATGCACTCCCTGGCAGATCCCACGTGCAAGGACGTGCGGGAGTGCTTGGCGAGGGCAAGGACCCCTGTGTTCCAGTGCCCTCTCCCACCCACTGCTCCCTGACTGCCTCATTGGCAGAGCCCCAAATCGCCCTTTAGAGGTCATAAATTCTGGGCAAGAAACAATGCCTCAGAAAAACGGAGGCAGTGGGGTGCCCACCGAGGGCCCCGACCACCGTGTGTGGGGAGGATGCAGTCCCTCAGCCCCTGCCGCCCTCTCCGCCGCGACAAATGTGCTGGGAGTTTCTGGTGCACACGGGTGGATCTGTGATGTTGCCTCCATATCCTAACAGCCTCTGCTCTTCCTCTCTCTGCCCAGAAAATGGTCTATACCATCCACGAGATCCCCATCTTCATTGCCATGGGCGTCGTTGGTGAGCCCTCCCCTGCTGCTCTTGAGAAGAGGGGCTCGTGGCGCTGGGGCCTCCTGCTGTGTGATTGAGGGGGTGTGGTGGGCGTAGGGCCAGGGAGGGGCTCCAGGAGGGGTGCCCAGGAGGCTGCTGTGTCCGTGCCAGTCCATGTGTGCTCACGGAGGGGGGGGCCCCCACAGGGCAGCAGCCCCGGGCCGTGTGTGCTGGCCCCCCCTTCCCTCTCTCCGTACGAAGAAAGGTGAGGGGGAGATGCAGGCTGTCCTCGGGAAGAGGCCAAGCGGGTCTGGGCAGGCTGCTGCTCTAGAAAGCTCTTCCCTGAGGAGGCAAGCCTTTGGGGGGTGAGGGAGTCTGCCCCTGGGTGTGGTGGTGCAGATGGGCATTTGCAGACCCTGCCTCATCCTGGTCCCTCTGCACAGCTTTTTGGGGGGCACCTGTCACCAGGGGACCAGCAGCCCCAGCTCCCATGCCAGGACACCCGGGCAGTGTTGGGGAGCATGGGCAATGGGGTGTGGGCGTTGCCGGGGGGGTGGGCAGTGTCAAGGGTGCACAGGCAGTACTGGTGTACATGGGTGCTGCCAGGGTGCATGAGCCGTATGGGGGTGCACATGCAGTACTGGGGTACATGGGTGGTGCTGGGCTGCATGGGCAGTGTCGGGGGTGCACAGACAGTACTGGGGCACGTGGGTGCTGCCAGGGTGCATGGGCAGTACATGGGTACATGGGTGGTGCTGGGTGCATGGGCCGTACAGGGATACATGGGTGGTGCTGGGTGCATGGGCCATACAGGGATACTTGGGTGGTGCTGGGTGCATGGGCAGTACGAGGGTATGTGGGTGGTGGTGAGCGCATGGGCAGTATGAGGGTATGTGGGTGGTATTGGGGTACATGGGCAGTACTGGGGTACACGGGTGATGTCAGGGCACATGGGTGGTGCCAGGGTCCACGGGTGGTACTGGGGTGCATGGGTAGTACCAGGTGCAGTCTGAGTGCACCCGTTCCTCCTGTGCTGTTTTCTTTCCGGTCACCGGCCACAGGGGGTATCCTCGGGGCTGTGTTCAACGCCTTGAACTACTGGCTGACAATGTTTCGGATCAGGTGAGGCCCTGTCCTACGTGCTGTGCCGAGGGCTGGCCTCCCAGGCCCGCCGGGGGAGGTGAAGACCCCGCACTCAAGGGCTGGCCTCCCAGGCACGTGGACCCCAGTGGCTTGGTGCCCTGCTCCTCCAGGGTCCCTGCCTCCAGTCTGGGCTTGGGGCCTGCGGGTGGCACGTCTTCACCTCGACCTGCCAGTCAAGAGGCAGTGCATTCCTCTGGCTCTCGCCCCCGGTCTACGTGGTGTGGGGAGAGTGCCCTGTGAGGGCTGGGGGACTGTTGGGAGCTGGCACCACAGGGGAGAAGCTGAGCCAGGGACGCTGGGGGGTTGGGGTGGATGGAGAAGTAAACCTGGGCCAGGAGGTCCTGACAGCCAGTGGGATGGAGTTGTGGGGGCTCTGCCTGTGGGGAGTGTGTGTGTGGTCTGTCTGTGTGCATGGGTGAGTACATGCGTGTGTACGTCATGTCTGTCTGTGGGTACGTGTTGTGGGCCTGCGTGTGTTTCTTAGTTGTTTAGTGTTGCTATAACAGAAATACCACAAGTGGGTGGTTCTAACAAACAAATTTATTTTCTCACAGTTTAGGAGGCGAGAAGTCGAAATTCAGGGCATTCTACCCTTTGGCCCCCACAAATTCATGTCCTTGCCACCTGTAAAACATATTCATCTCATCGCGTCATCCCTAAAGTCTTAAATCGGCTGCAAGTTCAAAATCTTATCTTCTGAATTATCTGTATCAGATATGAGTGAGATTTCAGGCATATTCCATTCTGGGGCAAAATTCCTCACCTGTGAAATCTAGACTATAAGTTTTTTGTTTCCAAAGTACAATGGTAGAACCAAGCACAAGGTAGACATTTTCATTACAAATGGGAGAAAGGAGGGATAATGGGCACCTAGCAAGTCCAGAAGCCAGCGGAACAAATTACACTAGCTCTCGAAGGTTCAAAATAATCCTCTCTTTCCTGAGACCATCTGGGCAATGGCCCTGCCCTCTGGATTCTGGGTGGGGGCCCTGGGCTTCAGCTCCACCTTCCAGGCCCGCTGGGAAGTCAGCTCTGCTCTCTTGGCTTTGGGTGGCCCCATTCTCCTAGTTCACCTGAGTGGTGATCCCACCCACTTGGCCCCTGCAGGCCCCATTTTTCTCCCCTTGGGCATGGCAGCCCCACCCCCTCATCTTTGGACGGCAGCCCCATCCCCCTGGCACTCGTGAACAGCAGCCCCACACTCCAGAACTTAGCTGGCAAAGGTCCAATTCTTTGAAGCCTAGGAGGCTGTGACCCCACCCTTTGAAACTGAGAAGGCCCTGCTTCCTGTGCTCCTTCCAGCAGTTCTGCTGATCTTTGAGCTGCTCCAGGGATGGTCCTTTTCTTGGAAGACAATAGATGTAGCTCCTTTGACCTGTTCCCTGCCTGTAGAATTTGAAGAAGCAGACAGTGTTCTTTTCCGTCTTTCTCTGTCCCCTTCAGTCTGAGCTGATGAGTGTTCTGCTGGAGTAGTTGGTTAGATCCATCAGTCACAGGCTTAATCTCTTTAACAAAAGATTGTGTAACCATGTTTTTGGTGAACATACTAGGATATATGTACTTATTTTTTACAACTGAATTTTCCAGTTCTGTTTTCATTTTGTGCAATTAATTTTTAAGTCCACGTTTTTCATCTCAGATTCTGCTCTAAGCAGCAAGGAGAAAACCACGCGGCTCCTTTAAGATTTTGCTTAGGGATCTTTTCAGCCAGATATCCAATTTCCTCCTTACAAGTTCTCCCTTGCACCAAACATTTGAACATAATTCAGACAAGTCTTTGCCACTGCACAAAAAGCATCGCCTTTCCTCCATTGTCCAATCACGTTCATCATTTCCTTTTAAATTCTCAGTGAAGCACATTTAACGTCCACATTTCTAGCAATGTTTTGTTGCTGGCACCATACGTATTCTCTAAGGCGATAGAGACTTTCTCTGTGGCAGTCCTCACTTCCCTATGAGCCCTCACCAGAATTGCCTCTGACGTCCGTAATTCTACCAGTGGTCTTTTCAAGGCAATCCAGGCTTTTATTATTAGGTACCTTAAAACGCTTCACCTATTACCCAATTTCAAAACAGTGTCCACATTTAGGTATCGGTTAGAGCAGCACCCTACTCCTGATATCAAATTCTTAGTTATCTAGTGTTGGTATAACAGAAATACTGGCAAGTGGGTGGTTTTAACAAACAGAAACTTATTATCTCACAGTTTAGGAGGCTAGGAGTCCAAAAGGCGCTCTCTCTCTGTCGGCTCTGGGGGATGGTCCTTGTCTCTCCAGCTTCTGCTTCCTGGTTCCTTGGAGCTCTCCACGTGTCTTGGCATCTCTCTTACCTCATCTCTCTTTCTGCTCCTCATTTAATCTCTTTTCTATCACAGAAAGGAGTGACTCAAGATACACCCGACACTAATCCTGCCTCGTTCACATAACAAAAACAGTCCATTCCCAAAAGGGGTTATAAGCACAGGCATGGAGGTTAGGATTTACAACACACATTTTGGGGGACATAATCCAATCCATAATGTTGTGCTTGTGGTGTGTCTGCGTGCATGCATGTGGTACGTCTGTGCGTGTGTGTTGTATACGTACGTGTCTGTGTATTGTGTTTGTATGCATGTGTGCACGTATCTGCACGCACGTAGTGTGCCTGTGTGCCTGTGCATATGTGTGCGTGTGGTGTGTCTGTTCATGCGTATGGTGGGTCTGGGTGTGCGTGTGGTCTGCGTGTTTATGCATGCGTGTGGTGTGTTTGCATGTAGTGTGTGCGTATGTATGGTGACTGCATGTTGTATGTGTGCATGTGCTGTGTCTGTGTGTGTGATGTACGTATCGTGTGTGCGTGTGGTGTGTTTGTGCACGATGTGTGCATGTGTGGTGTGTCTGCACGCATGTGTGCACGCACGCGTGTTTCTGCATGCATGGTGTCTGTGTACGTGTGTGCGTGCATGTGGAATGCGTGTGTGGTGTGTTTGCATGTGTGCGCATCTGTGTGTGTGGTGTCTGTTTATGGGCGTGTGCGTGGGGTGTCTGCATGTGTGTGCACATGTGTGTAGTGTGTGCGTGGGGTGTGTGTGTGCATGTGGTGTGTGCGTGTGTTGTGTCTCTGTGCATGTGTGTGATACACGTGTTATGTCTGTGCACACGTATGGCTGCCACACCGCAGGCCCTTCTTGACTCTCTTCTCCAGGTACATTCACCGGCCCTGCCTGCAGGTGATCGAAGCTGTGTTGGTGGCTGCTGTCACTGCCACCGTGGCCTTTGTGATGATCTACTCCTCCCGTGATTGCCAGCCCCTGCAGGGGAACTCTGTGTCCCACCCACTCCAGGTGGGAGGCCGGGAGCCCTTGGGAGTGTGTGCCTCTCCCTGTGGCTCACGTCAGGAGCCCTGGGCCCTGAGCAGCTCTGGGGCGTCTCTGAGGGGACTTCTGGCTCCCCAGGCTTCTGGAGAAGGGCTCACAGCCCACCAGGTGCCAGTGGGAGGGTGTGGCTCTGCCGGGTTGATGCTCACCCCAGTGCCTCACCCAGAATGTGGTGGCCCTGGGGCTACTGAGCTAGGTGTGCACTTGTACTGCGGTGGGTCCGAGCTGCCACCCTGCCAAGCTGGCTGCCAGGGCCGACTGCCAGGGGCTAAGAGATGCCCCCTCTCCCCAGTGACCCGCCCCGGCAGCAGACGTGCCTCTGATGTGCTCAGTGTCCGCGGGGTGACGTCTGTCTGTGCTTGCTGGGCCCCAGCTGCCTTGCTCACCCCTCCCCTGCCCCCGGCAGCTCTTCTGTGCAGATGGCGAGTACAGCTCAATGGCTGCTGCCTTCTTCAACACCCCAGAGAAGAGTGTGGTCAGCCTCTTCCACGACCCTCCAGGTGTGTGACCCCAGTGGCTCCTGGGCCTGGTCGTCCACCGTGGACGCAGGGCCAACACCTTCCAGGCCTGGGCCCAACGCCCCTTCCCAGTGGGGTAGAGAGGGTGTGAGTGACACCTGGGCAAAGGCGTGGTCTCCTGCTGCAGCTTTCTATCTGTCCCATGCGTGTCTTCCTGGGGGTGCCAAGAACGCTGAGACCCAGGACCCTCAGTGCTGGAGCACCCCAGGAGACACCCATGATGTGGGTGGGGTGGGAGCAGCCAGGGAAGGGGTTGTGGACCTGCTGGCTGAGTTCTGGGCTCCTGGATGGCCTCCTCTCCCCTAGGCTCCTACAACCCCCTGACCCTTGGCCTCTTCACGCTGGTCTACTTCTTCCTGGCCTGCTGGACTTACGGGCTGACCGTGTCCGCTGGTGTCTTCATCCCCTCCCTGCTCATCGGGGCTGCCTGGGGTCGCCTCTTTGGCATTTCCCTGTCCTACCTCACAGGCACCGCGGTGAGCGTGGGTGGGGGCTCAGGTGGAGGGTGCAGTCAGGACTAGGGAGTGTGGGGCGGGGGGGGGCATGGGGCAGTAGGCACGAATGGGGAGCAGGGCGCGTGGGGGGCAGTGGGGTGATGGGGGCATGAGGCGCAGCCGTGAGCAGGGGTGCAAGCTGGGCCCTTCCCTGCTGAGTGGCATCCTGCTCTCCCGGTGAGGCACCGCGGGTTGTCCTGAGCGTTGTCCTAGGATGCTGAGATGGGTGGTCTCACGTGTGAGCTGTAGGGCCGGTTCCCAGGCGTGGGGTTGCCGGGCCGAGGTGTGGCTGCCGTGGTGGTGCCTGACCACCAACCCCAACATCTGCCCTGGCCTCTCCCTGCAGATCTGGGCAGACCCCGGCAAGTATGCCCTGATGGGCGCCGCCGCCCAGCTCGGTGAGTCCTGGTGGGCCCAGTCGCTGGGTGGGTCTGCACGGCAGCAGGGGTCGGGTGGGCCTAGCGTGGGCAATCATCTTCCACGTCCGTGAAGAAAGAGAAGGTGTGCCCTGTGACTGTGTGTCTCTGTCCTGACCCACATCGTGGGGACCAGATAAAGCCAGAGCAGAGCTGGTGTCTGCAGGAGATACCACTGGGAACAAGCGGGGGGCCTGGTGCCATGCATCGTGGAGAGGCAGTGGGCCCGTTGAAGGGGCTGAGCCCATCTGTGGGCGGAGCAGCCGCCCGGGCACACTGGGACGCTGCTCACCAGCACCCTCCTCCCCGTCAGGTGGAATCGTGCGGATGACGCTCAGCCTGACGGTCATCATGATGGAGGCCACCAGCAGTGTTACGTATGGCTTCCCCATCATGCTGGTCCTCATGACGGCCAAGATCGTGGGCGACGTCTTCATCGAGGTGTGGCCTCGGGTCCTCTGTCTCTGGAGGGAGGGCGTGGACATTGTTGTCACCTCCACCAAAAGCCTCCAGGCTCTGTAGGCAGCAGCTCGCCCACACTTTCCCCTGAGGCTGTGGTATCCATAGAGATGGCTGGGGGCTGGGGCGAGGGGTGTGAGGGGCCTGGGACCGCACAGAGGCCTCCCTGACAGCAGGGCCTCCCCGGCCTCTCTCTGGTGGACACAGCGCCCAGCTCCCTCAGTGTGGACACAGCGCCCAGCCCCCCTTAGTGTGGACACAGCGCCCAGCCCCCCTCAGTGTAGACACAGCACCCAGCCCCCCTCAGTGTGGACACAGCGCCCCGCTCCCTCAGTGTAGACACAGCACCCAGCCCCCCTCAGTGTGGACACAGCGCCCAGCCCCCCTCAGTGTGGACACAGCGCCCAGCCCCCCTCAGTGGTGAAGCCAGCGTCCCAGGCCCCCCTGTGGACGCAGTGTCTGGCCCTCTCAGTGCGGACATGGCGTCCCCCTGCAGGGCCTGTATGACATGCACATCCAGTTGCAGAGCGTGCCCTTCCTGCACTGGGAGGCCCCGGTCACCTCACACTCGCTCACAGCCAGGTACTGCCCCCCCGGCCTCCGTGTCATCGTGGCGCAGACCAAGGGCCGCAGGCCTGCTGTTCCCACATGCGTGGCATTCTCCACGCTTAGCGCATGTGTGTGGGGGTGGGGGAAGGAGGCTGTGGAGCTGGCCCAGGCAAGGTGGGGCCACACGTCCCTGCTTCGCCGCATCAGGCTGTACCTTCGCAACGTCGGGGGTTCTGCATGGGCTGGCAAAGCTAAGTTGGGTGGCCATGACCCCAGGAGGTCCCCGTGCGCTTTGAGCATCATTGGTTCAGGTGGAGGAGGGGCTGTTTGAGAGCACCACGCAGGCAGGTGGCGGTGGCTGTGGCGCCGTGGCTGACGGGCGTTGCTCTGCTGGCAGGGAGGTGATGAGCACGCCTGTCACCTGTCTGAGGAGGAAGGAGAAGGTCGGCATCATCGTGGACGTCCTCAGTGATCCGGCATCCAACCACAACGGCTTCCCTGTGGTGGATGACGCGGACGACACCCAGGTACCGGATGGGCCCGGCAGGGGTGGGTGAGCCTCTGGCTGGGCAAGGTGGACCCAGCGTCCGGCCACTGTGCCGCACGAGCTGTGTCCTCGGGCCACCCACATCCATCTCTGTGTAAGGCCTGTCCCAGCCTGAGCAGGCAGCTGCTTGTCAACACATCGGCAGTGAGCATGGTGTCTGTGGGGAAACACACGGCCTAGTGCACACGAGCACGGAGACCTCCCATGGTCTCTGTGGGGAAACACACGGCTTAGGACACATGAGCATGGAGGCCTCACGTGGTCTCTGTGGAAACACACGGCCTGATGCACACGAGCATGGAGGCCTCATGTCTGGGCAAGCGAGCCCCACAGTCAGAGACGTGTCCTGGGTGCGTGCCGGTGCATAGTGGTCACCGTGACTGCTGTCGAGAAAGGGCCTGAAGGTGTGCGGCTGGCCTGCCTCGCCCGCTGGAGCACCTGGGCCCTCCACACAGGTGGTTCGGGAGTCATTTTGTGGTGGAGGGGGTGCACCTCCCAGCCGGCAGGCACAACCCCGTGGCCCGGACTCCTCGGTCTGCGGTGAGGGCGTTGTCCCGCCCTCCTGGTTGGCGGGGTGCTGAAATGGGCTAGCAGGGCGCCTGCAGCCAGACCAGCCTGTGACGGTGGCAGTGACACGGGACCTGAGGAGATCCCGTCTGGGGACGGGGCGGTCAGAGCCAGGCACACGTGCATATGGGGCACAGCCCGCCGTGGCCACTTCCTGAGGTCTTGGACTAGGTCCTGCTACACATGCAGCCAAGCGCCCACCCTGTCTCCACAGCCCGCCAGGCTGCAGGGCCTGATCCTGCGTTCCCAGCTCATCGTCCTCCTGAAACATAAGGTGCGTCTGCAGGCGGGGACGGGGGTCAGGGCTGACGCGGGCGGGGACGGGGGTCAGGGCGTCTGCAGGCGGGGACGGGGGTCAGGGC